TTCATTCATTCTTCTGTTGATGGGCATTTAGGCTGTTTCCATCCACTGGCTATTGTGAAGAGTGCTGCAGTGAATATGGGTGTTCACGTATCTATTTATATCATGGCTATTATTTCTTGTGGATACATACCAATTAGAAGAATTGCTGTGTCATATACTATTTCTATTTCCAACTTGTTTAGATTGTGCCGTTCCATAATCCACAGTGGTTGCACCATTTACAATTCCACCAGCAATGTATGAGGGTTGCAGTCCTCAATACCCTCTACAGCATTTGTTGGTTTTTGTTTTTTTTGAACTTTGCTATTAATGCTGGCATGTGGTGATAACTCCTTGCTGCTATGATGTGCATCTCTCTAATGGATAATGATCACAGCCATTTCTTCCTATGTTTATTGGCCACCTGTATGTCTTGTTTGGTGAAGCATCTGTTCATGTCCTTCCCACATTGTTTAATTGAAGTACTTATATTTTCCTTGATGAGGTGGTGAAGTGTTCTACAAATTTTAGATATTAGTGCCTTATCTGATAATCCATTTCCAAAATTTTTGTCCAGTCTGTGGGTTCTCTTTTTAGTCTTTTGGTGAAATATTTTGATTCACATAAATGTCTACCTTTAGGTGGTCTCAGTCATCTGTTTTGTCTTCTGCTGTTCATGTGTTTTCAGCCATATTTGATAATGTGTCACTAGCATATCATCTTGTCTCCTCCCGTGGAGTTCATCTTAAGTAATGATTATCCTACCTCGGTTCAAATTTTCTGAATCAAGTGTAATCAATTACTAGTTATAATTCATTATACTACTGGGTGCATTTTTTTTTAAAGGTTTTTATTGTGGCTTGAGTGAAAATTTACAGGACAGATCATCAGTTTTACATTCAACAAATCATAGACCTGGTTTCATTACAATGATTATAATCCCCTGCATACTCCATCAGGTAACAATATTTCTTTCTATTCATTTTAGCTATTTTTTTATTTTAACCACTCAGGCATATATAATAATTTACACCTCTAGAGGGTACATTCTGCAAGTCTGTCTCCTGGCCACCAGCTCTTAGTCCCTCTCTTCCCAATAATCTAGAGTCCTCAACGGCTCCCACTATCCATAACCTCATCTCTGCCTCCATCTCTGCCATAGCTGCTTCTCTGGATAAGGCCCCACATTCTGCATGTGCTCTTCTCCCTTGATAGTCCTAAGGGCCTCTGTTTCTGGACTGTGAGACTAACCACTCCTCTGTTTTTGTTACAAAACTTCTATCTTTACAATTGTGACAGTTGCAATTAGTCATGATAGCAATTATTCACTATTGAATCATATAAATCTTATCCCCATCTCTTTTCACCAGACCCATCTGGACAAGATGAAAACTATTCAGTGGGGACTCTTTCTCCCCACCCTCCCCACTCCTGCTGACACATACTCTCACTCTTAAACTAAACTCCTTCTTGAAATCTTATAAGCCAGTCACTTGATGCCTTTATCTCCCACTCATTTTAGGTAGCCAATGTCTAAATTGCCCATCCCTATCTACCCTGTGTACAGAGGGGATAGCATTGATACTTGATGTGAAGATTCCTTCTTTCTCTTTTGGTATTTAGAGTTACTACCTCCATGAGTATAGGTCAGGTTCATCAAATTGTAGCATTTACCCTTGTTTTAAACACTTTATCAAATTTTTTTGTTGTTGTTTAATTGCAATCTTTCTCTAGTCAGGTCCTGATTGTCAAGCCATCAAGCTAGGTCAAATGGGTACTGTCTGCATGTTTGGGTGTTCTTGTGTATCTCCTCTCACTTCATATCAGCTGGATGTTTCACTCTCATCTCAAGCCCTCTGTGGCTATGTCATTGTCTATAGGCTCAAGTGTCTCCAGGTCTCACCACACTTTGGAACAACCAGCCCTTCCTCTTCACTCTCATGTCCAGGTCAACAGAAGTCAATGGACTGTGGTTGAATTCAGCTCATTTCATCATTGCTGCCTTTCCCCCTCTTCCACTTACCAATAGACCAATGTGGTCACCAACAAGCTTACATGCCTGTTCATGTGTTCCCTTTGAGTTTCAGTCTTAGAGGGGAGTTTGTGCTGAACGAACTTGATTGTCTGCCTTGAAGTCTTCCTGGCGAACAGCTTGCTTATTCTTATAGAAGCCAGTCACGCTGACATTTTTGTTTTGGGTTTTTCCTGATGCACTTTCTTTGAAGCTGTGTCTTCTGTCAGTGTAGCTATTCCAGGCTGGTCAGCTCGTCCTTTCTAGTGGTAATGTCCCACCTCATAAGGTTCTGGATGGGACTCAGGATCCCACCTAAGGTCCTATACACTGCAATGGCTTTGCAGGAGGCCTATTTCACTGGGCAAGTTCTAGAACCCCTTTTAGGTATAATAATAAGTTACATGCAGAAGATGTGCTTACATGTTTTCTGTAATCATGGTTCCCAACTTTCCTTTCTATCCCACTCAAGTGTCTGTTTTAATAATAGTAGGCAAAGGAAACCGATATTCATAAGACAGTCAAACATTTTAACATTATTTCACCTCTTTAAACTATGTCTAGATCCCTGTATCACAGAGCCCTATTGTTCCAAATTTGAGCATGCATCACTATTTAACTCTGGCCATTTGGGTCATACAAACCTGTTGCAGTGTTCCCCTATCTATCTTGTTCTTCCACCTCCTCTTCTTGTTCTAGAATGTATTTTGGTGCTTTTTATGCTTTCTGATCTTTTCTAGGTAGATGTGATCAAGAGATGGATTTCCCTCTTCAATCTTCTTCCTGCAAAATTTCAAATGCCACTGTTGATCATTGTGACGTAATGCAGGATCTAATTTTCATCCTATGTTCTTTTTAGTCTGCCTGTTCCACTCCACAATCCCCACTCATGCCTTTTTCCTAGTGATAAGCAGTTCAGGGTCGGCTGTGGCTGTTTTGCACAGCCATTTAGTTTTTAGTGGAAACTGTCACTTTAAATTTGAAGAGATCTGTGCACATGCGTAGTATAACCCTCCAGAGGTGTGGGTGGGGTGTCCACTCACTCAGGCACCCCCTCTAGTCACCATAATGGAGGTATGCAGACAGCGAAAGACCAATGAACAGATACCAAAAAAACATAAAATCGAAGAATGTCCATACCTTAATCTCTGCGTCTGTGTCTGTGGCTGCTCTGATCCTTCCCCCGCTTGGTCTTGCCAAAGAAGGTGGCTCCGGGAGTAGTTGAGCATCATTAATTAGAAAGCAAAGTATTTCTTGCTTCTGCTACAAATTCCCCTAGCTATAAGCCTTCCAACCTTCTAAATAGTCCTTTATATGTGGTTCAGAGTTCTGGCACCATCCCCTCAGCCTGCTTGGTCTGGTATTCTGTGTTGTTGCTGACAGAACTCCTCATTGCACTTCTATCGAATCTGCCATCTTGTTTGTTCTCTGGGTGCATTTTTTTTCTTGTTTATATCAGGACCTTCGTAGTTAAAGAGCACCTAAGAAAGTTGTATTTTCCATTTTTAAATTACAATAGATAAAGGGAGTTATAAATTGTATATACTATAAAATTTATAATTTATATTAAAATTTGGCAAGAGCCATAATTAATTAAGGAATTAAAATGAATAAATTGAGACATATTAATCGAAGAATTAAAATAAATAAATGAGATGACGAGGACCTTGCATATAGAAGAATTCATTGTTTTTGCAGAACAACAATGAATTATTTTCCTTGGATAGCAAAGCTACAAGGGAAGAAATATTTCTCTGTGCAGACCCCTAGTTATTTTTTTCCTTTTGAATCATTCTCTGATTTATTAGTTTTTTTTAGTATCCTTTTACTTTAGATTTTGACTCTCCTATACTTTAGTATATTTTTATTAAAAGTTAGAAGCCATATATTAGCTACATTTTATTCTACTTGTAATCATAGGTAGTTTTAATACTTATATTAACAATGTTCTTAAGACTATTAGGAGACAGGATTTGTCAGTTGAATTACTACCAGCTTAGGCTTAGTGATTATAAACATTCTTCCTTGTAGCCTTAGTTTAAGACAATAAAGAATCCCTAAAAGCAACTAGGCTATAGATAAGGGCTGTGAGAAGCTATAGTTACATAAATAAGAAGTCTGATCAGTTGAAGTTACTGATATGAAACACTTTCTTTTCTAACACAGGTATTTAGTGTGAAAAAGTTCTTCTAAAGTACCACTGCCTGTGGTAGCTGGCATTTTGTTATGATGCTGAAAGTTATGGCACCAATATTTCAAATGCCAGCAGGGTCATCTAAGGTGGACAGGTTTTAGCAGATATTCCAGACTAAAATGGATTAGGAAGGAAGGCCTGGTCATCTACTTCTGAAAATGATTGAATGAAAATCTATGGATCACAACAGCACAAAGTCACTTGCTTCAGGAATTTCATCAGGAGGGATCAATCAATAGCTGCAAGAAGGACTTGAACATACTGTTGATCATGAGGGTGACACAGAACTGGACAGTATTTTATTCTATCAGAGTCAATGCTATGGCAACTGCCAATCTATGCATGGTGCAGGACTCATAATCCCTGCTCAGACATTATTAGAAATCTAATTTTCTAGTGGATATGCAATCCTACAGCTTGCCTAGAGCTATATCAACAAATGGCTGTTTCATGTTGTTGTTAAGGACTGTTCACTTGTTTCTGACTCTGGGCAATCCTGTATAGTGTTTACAAGGAGCTGCTGGTGGAGTTTAATCACCAATCTTGCAGTTCAAACCGACTTTGCAGTCCAGTGTTTTATCCCACAGTGCTCTCTGAAAACATTTTGTTAAGAAAAAAATGAATAAGCTTTCTTGATGTAATATCTTGTGGAATGTAGTTTATTTTATGTGACACAAGAACCTGGATAATTGCAGTTACTTCAGACTCATTTGTAAATGACTTACTATTTTATCATATTGTCATTTTATTTGACACTGGATAAATAAAAGTTAACTGAATGTATATTTATATTTTTCTTGTGCCTTTTCCCTCTAGAAACATGCTCAAAATCAGATATATACATTGATAATGGCTTTTTTTCTGAATCTGAGTTTTCATATCTTATAAATAAAAGAACACAATATAGGTGTAAACCAGGGTATGTAACAGCAGATGGTAAAGCATCAGGATTCATTACATGCTTGGAAAGTGGATGGTCAATTCAACCTGTATGCCTTAGTAAGTAATTTGCTAAGTTTAGTTTTCAGATGATACTTTTAAAAACAATTACTCCAACTTGATTATGTGATTTTAGAGAGTGAGACTGTAAGGGATGGAGCTGACATAGTTCCATTTTTAAGGATAAAATACTTTTGTTAAGGATTAAATACTTTGGAATGTATTTTTATATTTTTCTTGTGCCTTTCCCCTCTAGTAACATGCTAAAAAAAACATAAAAATTACATAAGAATTTCAATGTAATATTATAAATAGTACAAAAGTCATATGTACCATTTAGAGATATATAATATAAAAATCATACATAAAATATAGAAATATTAAATATAGTATCAAAATCATATAGAGTATAGAAATAATATAAGTTGATGTTGCCGTTGTTCAGTGCTGTCAAGTTGGTTCTGATGCTTAGAGACCCTGTATAGGATTTCTAAGGATTGGCTAAATTTGAACAATTGACCTTGTGTTTAGCTGTCCAGTGCTTATCCAAGAGTCCATCTAATATAGAAATAATAAATAACATAAAAGTTATAATATAGAAATATGCCATATAGAAATCATAAATAAAATATATAAATTCTGATTATAATGTAGACATCATATGGAGTATAGAAACCATGTATATATTCTATTCAAATCATAAAGATAATATAGAATTTAGATATATATAACATAGAAATATATATAATATAGAAATCATATATATAATGTAGATATATAGAGAGAATGTAGAACTATAGGTATAATATAGGAGTCAGATATGTAATGTAGAAATCATATATGTAATCTAGATATCATGTTGTTGTTGTTGTTGTTAAGTGTCATATACGGTATATAATTGTATAAGTATACAGTTATAATTAGGTAGTTGATTAGGTTTGTTCTGCCTTTTTGAAGTAGTTACCAGTAGAATAGAATTCCATCTTTTAAGTTCAAGCTTTTCCTACTTTAAAGAAGTCTCCTGATTTAAAAGCTAGTTAGGGAATCTCATGTCTATTCCAGTGTATACTTGACTTTTTTTTAGCCCAACCATCCTGTTTGATGTGTCCAGGCTTTTTATATTGGAGTCTTGCTGATGACATAAGTGTTATGTTTTTAAGGGAAGAGATAAGTCGCTAGTGCAGAATCCTAGAAGATTTTAACCTTTATAGTTTATACAATTAATACTGTAGGAGAGGTCCACTTACGGAAATTCTTGCTGCGCTTTTTGAAAATTTTCTTGAATATCTAGGTAATGAACAGAAACATTTCTTGATAGTACTAAAATACTGCCCCATTAACTAGATGTTTATAAAGATCTGATAATAACAATTTGCTTAGATTACCTTATTGTTCAAGTTATTCAATGGTATATTTGAAATATAAAATGTCTATCCTACTGTACAGTAGTTAGTTTTTTCAGTCTTTGTATATACTGTGTGCTCTGGCTAAAAAAAAAAAAAATTAAAGTTGCTCTCATATCAATGTGTTTTATTCTAAATTGTGATCAAATATTATAAGAAGACTTGTTATGAAACATAAAATGTCATATAACTAATATATAGATCTTTATATCCAATTAATCTATTTACTATAAAGGTCTTAACTGGTAACTAGACTGGCATTTTAAATGAAAAAAATGTATATATAATTATATATATTTGTGATTTTCTGAACAAGAATCACACACCTCTAATGTTTTATCATATTAACCAGCATTGGAAGTTATCATAGGTATAAACAGAATTGAGAAAAATGTACTTAATATAATTTTTATCAGATGATTTAAATAATGTGAAGAATACTATCAGCATAAACATATATTTCTAATGTAGTAATGGTTTTAGGAGACAGTTTATCTTTGGTTTTCTTAGATTACATTAAAAAGGTACATAATTGAAAACCATTTTTGTTTCTGAGATGGGATTTACCCAGTTGGTTTGCTCATTAAATAACATGTTATTAAATCCTCAATTTTACCATGCACTAGAATTTTGTGAAATTCCAGTATTTGAGAATGCCAGAGCCAAAAGTAATGGCACATGGTTTAAACTCAATGACAAGTTGGAATATGAATGCAGAGGTGGCTATGAAAATGCACGTGGAAGCACCACAGGCACTTTAGTATGTGGTGATGATGGATGGTCTGATACACCAACGTGCTATGGTAAGTTCTATTCACTTTCTTTCTTTCAGGTATTTGTTCTTTGGGATAATATAATCTGTATATTTCCCTTATAGGGGGGTGTTTTAATTACCTAGAGGCATTGCTAAGGAATGATTAGAACCAAGGTATCTCAGGATTTAATGTAAATAGGAGGATATAGTGTTTAAATAAGACACTCTGGTAGAGCAGTGGTTGTAAGTCAGGCTGTTAACCTCAAGGTCAGCAATTAGAAACTGCCAGCCCAGTCAGCCGTTCCACCAGAGAAAGTTGTGGTTTCTGCTCCTGTAAAGATGTGCAGCCTTGGAAACTTTATACAGGGTCACTATAAGTTGGAACCAACTCCGCAGCATGCCACCACCACCAGAGCTTTAAACTCTAAAAATAATAATCTATATTTACAACAGTGCATCAAAGTAATGTTTCCAATGGGTCACATACATACATTACAGATTTGTCATTAAACTGTAAATTGTGTCAAGTAATCTTATATGCAATATTTCAGATGATTTAAAGCTGGGTACTCATTACCAGATTATGATTAGTCACAACCTCTTCAATGGTTTGACTCATAACTTTCTGCTTTTTCCCATCTTGATTTCTAGTTTTTTCAGTTCCTATCAGGAACTTCATTTCAGATACCAACACTTTCCTTGAACTGTTCTGAAAATCTCTTGTACGTTTACGGTTTTCCATGGATACAAAATTGTATTCAATCTTTGTAAAATGAGTGGATGTAGAGTGTTCCAAGTAAAGGAAATAATATGAGAAAAGTTATAAAGCAAAACCTCTATTTGAGAAATGTCAAGAAAAGAAGACTCTCTGCAAGATATGAGAGAATTGTATTAGCTGAGGATGGAGAGGAGACAAAGGCAAGAGTATTCAGATTATATTATTTTAGGGCATACTAGAATTGCATTCATCCAATGCTTTTAATAGATTTGCATATTGAAAGGTTTTGTTGTTGTTGTTTCTGGATTTTGAGCAGGTGGTAGTTAAGATAGGAAGTCCATGCATGGTGAGAAATGGTGGCGATTCAGGTACAGTGAAGACTGAAGAGGTGCAGAGCCAAGGACCAAATATATTTAGGATATATTTGGTGATAGAAAGAAGAAGAAAAATGACAAAATGTCAGACAAGGAATTCACATATTTTGTTTTGTTTTTCAGAAACAGGTAGGTAAATGGCAATGCTACTATATGCCTGTATGTTGGTCTATCTACTTTGCACATGCAGCTAGGCTGTCTCTTAAACTGTAGGCAGCCATCAGACTGTTATAAATGGTGTATCTATACACCCACTGGTATCACCCATTCCATGGGTGCTACATTTATCTGTGACTTTTATGGGTACATGGGACAGTTACACAGTATAGGCAAAATAAAACTCATGATTATTTATAGAAGGCAAACATTAAACAATAACAACAGACTCTCAAAATGAATCGCTTACCTTTCCTTAAATTATCCATGCCCATTCTTATGTTGCTGGACAGGTGTGCTGTAAATCACGTCAGATGCTATGTTCACATCACCGCTGCCTCTGGCTACCAGCCCACAGTTGGGGAGTCTGTATGGCTCCTGTGTCTTCTACTCTTCCTCTAAGATTCACTGGGCTTCACTTTGCCCACAGAAAGACCCTTGCACAAGATAACTTGAACCTCTATTTCTGGGTGACAGACAAAGGCTTCATAGAGGAGGAGGAGTGGGTTCTGGATATTCCTGAGAGGGAATTCAGAAGAATGATATGGAAACAAATTTAAATAATCCAAAAAGGGGTCAAGGAAAATAAGGAAGTAAGGAAAGAAAGCAGGAACAATCAGATTGGATTGACACAGCTTTGGAAACAATGAAAAACCTGCAAAAAGATGTCCAGGTGATCAATAATAAGATATCAGAAATAGACAATTGGCTGAAAGGGGAAAGGAGCAGATTAGAAGAGATGGAAGCCAGAACTAGTGAACTGGAAAACAAATCTCTCAATACTGCCAAGGTAGAAGAGCAAGCAGCTAAAAGGATAAAACAATCTGAAGAGAGTCTAAGATTCATGCTGGATAGCATGAAGAGGAATAAT